CACGAGGGAAGCGAAGGAGACTTCCACGAGGGAAGCGAAGGAGACTTCCACGAGGGAAGCGAAGGAGACTTCCACGAGGGAAGCGAAGGAGACTTCCACGAGGGAAGCGAAGGAGACTTCCACGAGGGAAGCGAAGGAGACTTCCACGAGGGAAGCGAAGGAGACTTCCACGAGGGAAGCGAAGGAGACTTCCACGAGGGAAGCGAAGGAGACTTCCACGAGGGAAGCGAAGGAGACTTCCACGAAGGAAGCGAAGGAGACTTCCACAAAGGAAGCGAAGGAGACTTCCACAAAGGAAGCGAAGGAGACTTCCACGAAGGAAGCGAAGGAAGGACATTTTACTTCCACTCTCATTTTTGAAAGAGAAAAAAAACTCTACCTCTTTCCATATTTTTCAAGTTTGCTATTTTTTTTTTTTATAGAAGAAAGAAAAGATTTTTTTTTTTTATCGTTACTGGAAGAAAATTTTTTTTTTTTATCGTTAAAGCTAGAAAAAGATTTATATCGTTAAAGATACGTGCGTGTTTATATACTTTTTAGACGTGAATTTTTTTTTCATAATCACATACTTTTTTTTGCATAAACTTTTACGTGTTGTTTCATGCATGAAACAAATACAAATTTGTCATAATCACCTTTTTTGCAAAAGTACGTGATTAAGACTCTTCATATTCGGATATTTTTTTACACGAAACAATGAAATTTTTTTTTTCAAAAGTGAATTTTTTTTTTCGCATGAAAAAAATAAACTTTATTTTTTTATTCACATACTTTTTGCATGAAACGAGTCAAAGTAATCATGAAAGTATATTATGGTAATGACAAAAACGATTACATTTTTATTTACGTAATTTTCTGGGAAATGGGTTTACTTTTCCGCAATTTGATTCTTCGAATAAAAAATCACTAATCCACATGGAATAAAAAAAAATCAGCTTACCGGTCTATACTTTTTCCCTCTAAATTTTATTATGTGATTTAAAACATGATCGGTGGCATATCGCATCAACCGATCTACGTCTTCAATTTAAAACACTTGTCCCGTATATTTTTTGAATTTTATAACACCAGTCGAATTTTATGTAATAAAAATCATAATTTATTAATTTGAATAAAGATTTAATTATTGGAACAAAAAAAAAAAAAGAAAAAAGAAAAAAAAATTTCCTAAAATTAATGTCAAAGTAATTAAGAAATTAAAAGACCAATAATTTAAAAGTAGCAATTTTAAGTCAAATGTTAAAAAAGAAGAATTATTTTTTCAAAAGCACTTGTTGTACAACTTCAATAACTTGAGAATATATTTTAGAATGACTAACTACAACACCTTTGTTAGACTTTAAAGTTCTTCCTAAAGAAAAATCTAATGGTTTTGAATAAATGTCTGAAACTATACCACCAGCTTCTTGAACTAGAAGAGCTCCGGACGCATGATCCTATTATGTATATATTAAAAGATATTCATTAATAAATGTAAATTCATCATACCTTACGTATAAAAATAAAAGAATAAATAAAAAAATGAAGTTTACCCATATATTCTCTTCGTAATCATCTCGAGTCGGTAAACGTAAATAAATATCAGCATCACCTCTAGCCACTGAACAATATTTGCATTGACTATCCATACGAATAGGTGGTTTAGTAATACCAAGTAGTGAAGCTATTTTTGCAGCATCCCCATGAGATGAATGTGCTGCTTCAACCGATTCGCAAAATGATGCTTCTAGTACCGAAGAAATATTGGCCATTTGGATTTTCGTTTCTTCCGTTGAAGAAAATTTCCTCTATTTTCGAAACAAATGTATAAATACTCGAATAAATTAAATAAAATGACCAATGATGTAATATTAATAATAACCTGAAAAGCTCCTTGACCTTTTTCCGCAATAAATAAACACCCTTTTTCTCCCTCTGGAACTTTAGAATCTACTGGTAAATTAGGGCATCCCATAACACCTAATTGAACTTTACCATCTACAAGTAATGCTAAACAAACTGCAAATTGTTCGCCACGTAAAAATCCTTTTGTGCCGTCGATTGGATCAAGTGTCCACATTCCTTTTTTTTTTTAAAAAAAAAAAAAAAAAAAAAAAAGTAAAAGAATATTTACGGTCAGAATATAAGAATTTGATATAGTAAAAAGAATCACCAAAACATTTACGAACTTCCTTGTGAACCACCAGGATAAGATCCTCGATCAATAGCATCCAATAACTTTCACAAAAAATTTTAAGAAGTGGTTATTTTGGTTATCGCAGTAAAATAAGTATTGCGGTATTATCATACCGTTGTTTCATCTAATGGATCATCTAATATAGAATTAGTTAAAGAGTGAATTTTCGCTCTTAATTCCTTTCCTGATTCAACGCGTAAATCCTTAGTATCTTCTTCTCCGATAATTGGATCATTCGGAAAAGAATGATATAAAATTGTATTCACTACAGCTTGTGCACTAAAGTCAGCAACTATAAATATAAATGAGTTCACCTATTAATTTCTTATTCTATTAATTTTTATATATATATATTAAGTTTGTACCTGTTACTGGGCTCTTGTCTTTTTTAGTTATGGTCTCGTTATTAACAAGTTGTTTGAATACTTTTTGGCAAACCTTACTGGCTTGTAAAACTGCATTAATAGCAACTGCACGTTCTGCCGCAAACACTATTTTCAGGAAATAAATAAAAAATTTAGAAAACTAAATCATTCGTTTCTCGGGAAATTTTTTAATTAAATTACCTGACATTATGAAAAAAATAAATTAAATTACGAATTTTTTTTAAAAAAATTTTTTTAATTTTTATTTGAAACAATTTGATCTGCACAAAATTATTAAAGTGAAAGAAGTTTAACTAATCATGTCGATCATTACTATAAGTTATTCGTTTTAAAATCATCATAATTAAGTAAATGCTAATTCTTTATCTTCTATCTTCTCTGTAGTTTTCATTAATTCTCTTAATACTATAGTCGCATATGAACTAGCTGCTAAAGAAAGGTTGATTCTTAATGCAAGATTTTTGCCATCTTATTATTCAAATCATTTATTTATGTTGTATAAAAATGAAAATATATGTTAAAATCAACGTGTTATTTATTAATAAAGAACAAATGTGTAAAATACCTGGTAATGATTCTGGTTCGGGCTTTCCATCCAACAAATCTAAGTCAGTTAAGGCCAATGATAAATTTGAATCGTCATATTTAAAAAATTTCCTATAATTGGAATACCAATTAAAATATAAGATCTTACGAAAACCTAATATAACCATTTATAAACTGACCATGATAAATCGCTTGGCTTTCCCATGATTTTCCTATATGATCCAGATAAAGAAAAGTCCCTATAGAATAATAAACCGTTAATTGTTAAAAGGCTTAATAATCAATATTTGTAAAATTAAACTTACTTGTTACTTCTTCGCATTTCACGTGGATCCAACCGATCTTTCCACATTAGTTCTTTATATTTCTCAAATATGATGTTATTCGGATAAACGACAGAATATCCAGGTAAAGGTAACACCACATCAAATATTGAATAGTTCTTTAAATCTTCTTCAGCGAGTATTTTCACCTTAATTTCCTAATTAAAAAGTATCGTTAAAAATATATTGAACATTGATAAGAAATTTATATAAATAATTGTAATCACCTTCTTATCATCTGTATTAACAATAACACTATCATCTATTATATAATCACTATTTATATTCGCACCCGGATCTTCATCTATAATAATCAAATCGCCTACGACCGGAGCATCACAACCATATATACGTATCCTCTCCGAAACTATACTATTCCAGACATATGATTGATACGCATGTACATACATAAGACGTAAATTTCTTGGTATCTAAATGAGAGATAAATTCTTTAATCAAAATTCATATTTATGAAATTAAATCGAAAATGTAATTTAACTCACCGTCGCAAAAGCCCCAGCGTAATCTTTAATTTGACCAGTTTTTGTAAAATAATTTAATATATAAGTCTCTGCAATACATTTTTTGGGAAACAATTCTAATGCCTTTTTCGCATCATGATTCTCTATCCAATGTTGCCTTGCTGTTTGAAGATCCTGACGATCTAAACAAGATATCATTAGAAAATCAAATTTCTTTTTTTAAAAAAATGAATCATCAAGTAGACCTTTTTAGAACAAAAATTACCTCCGGATCGTGGTTTCATGATCAAATCGATAGCCTCTTCCCAATTATTTTGTAAAAGTGAACGACCAATGTGGAATGTGGGAATGGATGAAGTACCAAATCTTTGCATGCCTAATAAATTGAATTAAGATTAAAGAAATAATACATTTTAAGAGTTGCTAAAAGCATGATTTATTTGATTCTTACCAAAATAATTAATAAATCCACGTGATTGCATAGAATCCATGGCTTTTGTAATTATTCCTTCGTTTCCTGCTTGAATATTTCTGAATATAATTCATAACGATTCGTAAATTTGAATAATGTAATCATTAATCCAAAAAGAAAAAAGCTATTTATAAATTACTTTAATGTAATAACAAAATGATTCCCTCCCAATTCGCCAAGTCTCAATGGATCCTTAACGTATCTAATGCATCAATTGAAAAAAAGGAAAAAAAAAAAACTTTTAAAAATTTAATAAATAATTATGATATATGAATTTAATCAACATACTCAAAATTTCCTAATTTCATTCCTCTTGACTTTCGATTGATTCCAAGCAATCTTTCAGCCTTTATCCTATTTGCGGTTATCTTCTGTACGCTTATGGCGCGACGATCTTTCGTACCAGCATAAGAAAATGTTTTTGAATGAACTCTAAATAAATAAATAAATAAATAAATAAATATAAATATATATATTAATCTAAAAAAATTTAACAAATTAACTTTGAAAAGTTTGATGAAAGCCACACTTTAAGAGCTTTTTCAAAGAGTTAACGGCGTCCATAGTATCCATATTTTCTTTATATAAAGTAAACTGACAAAAACTTCCACCCAATGCATCCCAAGCGTCATTTTTTTGCTGCTTATTTCTTTTGTCTGTAAATAAATGTATAAGTAATTCATCTTGTAAAAATGAACAAAATAAAGAAAGACTCCTTATACTTAACCTTTCCTTGTCTCGTTAGTGTGCATACTGATCCTTATTGTACCATCTTTTGTCTCTGTGTTCAATTTATCGCCAAAATAATTCTTAAAGAATCGATGAATAGCTGTCCTTTTTTCTTTATCTTTTTCAACCTTGAAAAAAAAATTAATAATTTTAAAAAATGATTCAAAAAAAGATAAATAAGATAATATTTACCGTTGTATCGACGAAATTATTTTTACCATTTAGTAAATTTTGAACTTGTAATGAAGTTTCTTCATCAAGCAAAGTTCTCATTTCCTGAAATATTTGTTCATCTGATAATTCCTAACAAAATTAATGTTTAATAATATATTCCTCATTAAAAGAATCATATTTAAATTAATGATTACTTTTTTAACAGGTTCTTCTTTTTGTGTCTCAATGGCTCGAGAATTGATAATATTTGTAGATTTTATTTCTGGAAGATTGAAATCTGTAAGATGAACGATGTTCCCGGCATTATCAATTTCATAAACCAAAAAATCGGAGAATCTAGACAATTAATAATAATTAAAATGATAATTCGATAAATTATAAATAGAAGTATTAGTTACCTTTGTTTGATATCACCAGAAAATCCAGGAATTGTTGGATCAACAAACTCAGTAATTCCAACATCCCCTTCACGAGTCATCTTTCCTTCTGAACTGACTTTATTATTTATTACATCATTTGATGGGATCGACCCTCCTGAATTCAAACGAATCTTTTTTGCTGGTTGTTCTTCAACTGAAGACATAACACTGAATTTTTGATATGTTAACGTAAACTTTAAAGGAAATCGTAAAATACGATAAGAAAACATGAGATCTCTGTCAATCGGATTTCTGAAGATCAAGTTACACAACAGGTCGTCTGTGCTTTATTATTGTTGTGCCCAACATCAAAAATTTTAAACCCTTTTTTTTTCTTGCTCTAAGGGAGAAAAATAAAATGCACGTTAACGCTGAACCTCAAGAGAATTCTAGCTCGGATACACAGAATTTGACAGTTACTAACGCAACACATGAAATTGAAGAAAACGAAAAAAATATTGAAGAAAAAATTACTGACGAAAAATTCAATAACTTTGAAGTGACAAACACTGAACAAAGTCAACATAATGAAGATAAACTCCTTGACAAATATGTCTCTCAACATACTTTAATTAAACTAGAAGGTATATATCTTTTTTTTTTAAAAAATTTGTATGAAGCGTCTGCGTAAAAAGTCCAAGATCATTTATTTTAATCGATCGTTAAAATTTTAAATATATGCTAAACTTGAATTATTATTTTTTTTTTACGAAATGATTTTTAGAATATTGGGAAAACGTTAAAGCAATTCCAAAACCTACAATTGTTTTGATGTCTATAATTGGATTGCTTTCATTCTATTTTATTTCAGCAATTTTTGGCTCACTTTATTTTCCAACTACAGATTTAATCTGTAACAATACCCCTTATTCTGATTTGGTTTTTTCATTTTGTAAATCCCCAATTCCCAATTTTACTGCTATCGTTAACGCGCAAGTTGAAGCACAAGAACGGCTTTTAAAACAGGCGGCAGAACTTGATTCGGAAGGTTCATTGGCTCATGATATTAAAAAAGCCGAATTAGCTACAAAAGATTTAATGTTGATCGTTAAATATTCTGATTTAAAATCCAAAAATCTTTTGACTGAAAAACTGAAAGAATTTGCAGATACAAGTTTTGAAGCAAATAGTGATCTTCAAACTTTACAAATTAGAGCTCAAACTTCTTTGGATAACACAATAACTTATATTTCATATACTTTGAAGACTCTTGAAGATTTCAGTGGAAAAATTATTAGTCCAAGACAAGAAAGAGATTTGAATAAACATCATAATATTCTTATGAAATTGACCGATGATGATCTTCGAAAACTGATTGAAGCTACAGACAAAACATTGAACATGTAAGGAAAATTTTTTTTTTTTTAATTTTAATGATTTATCATAACTAAAATTTGAATTATATTTATTGATTATGCATTGTAATAAAAAAAAAAAAAAAAGACTTAAAAAACTCGATGTCATTCAAGATACCATTCGCGATATTACCGGTCAAGAAGAATTGTTACAAGCAATGAGTGAAGCGGAATTGCTTTCCGAACTTTGGTCGATTCTTGGTGGTAACAATGTAGAAAAAACAATCTTCAAGAATAATCTAAAGTTACTTAAAAATCTCGATAATCAAAGAAAGGTTGCGGTTGAAAGAATCGCTTTAATCATGGGATACCTTGACAAGTTCCAACATCAATTAGAATTTTTACGCGAAGAAACAGTAACACGTCTTTTGGTTGATATTCCTCTTGAAATCCATCTAACGAATGTGAAAAAGGCTTTAATGAGATTACAAAATAATGAAATTACCGGTGGTGTAAAAATGGATAAAATCAACGGAGTAATTGAAATTAAAACTCAGCAGACCATTTATTAGATTTAGTGAGAAGGTTTTGTTATCACGATGTATAAAATAAATGTGCATATTTTTATAAATAAATAAATTATAATAAATTCGTCGATTAATTTATCCGAACATAGTTAAATTTGTTACACAAGCTTTTGTAAATGCATATAAAACCCCTTTTATAATCATCATAAATTTCTCATTCGACAAAAAATGCTTTCCGAAAGTGATGATGATGTTTGGGCTTCAGATGAAGAAATATCTGAATATGATAGAATAATGTCTTTAAAAGAATGGGAACGCATGAATGAAAATTTTGGAAATGTATTATTTATATTATTTAAATCATCAATTTTTATCTTAATTTTTTTTCATTCGATTTTTTTTCCACCTAAACTTTATGCAGGTTGGATATAAAGAGGGAATTTTAGAAGGAAAGGATGTAACAATTCAAGATGGATTTAATGACGGATACGTTGAGGGAGTAAATTTAGGCATGGAATTTGGTAGATTAAGAGGGTTGTTAAAGTGAGTAATCATTGATTTATATCATTTATATCCACTCTCATTTTTCTGATGTATTTCTAAATTTGTTCTTTTAAGTACCTTATTGGAGTTTTACACACCTATGATGAATGAAGAAGATAATGATGAACTCAAAATCCAAAACTTACCAAATCGTTCGACTTTCGAAAGATTAAAATTGTTAGAAAATGATCTTTATAATTTGACAGCTGAAAAAGTTTTTACGAAAGATTATCTTCAAACTATTTTAACTTCTCAAAATGATAAATGTAGTTGCCTGTCAGAAACAACAAACACCGTAAACGATAATTGCTGTAGTAGGAATATTTCATGTGAAAGTAAGGAGATCTATAATCTTGGAAATAACATTAAATCAAATGAGAACTTCACCGAAAAGTTGCTGATTGATTATAGAGAGAAGGTTGATAAGTTATTAGAAGAACTTGGATTTGATAAAAATTCCGTTTAAACCTTTACTAAGACAACAGTTTTAGGTTATTCGTTTTATTTTGAAAGAAACTTTAAGAAATTGATGAAAACAATTTATCAAAAATATTTAAAGATGTATAGATATGTGGATGTAGGCAATAAATAACATGCCTTGAAACATAAAAGCAAAAAAAAAAAAATTGAGTGGAAAAAAAAAGTATTTATCTTCTATATAACAATAGGTTTATAATAAACGGTGGTAACATGCTGGAATATAAAAAGAGAGGTTGTCTTCTTAAATAAAATGATTAAACAATGCAAAATGTGGGGTCTATCATCTTTTACCTTTTTACGATATCTTGTGGTTCCGGCCACGGCTATAACACCATCTCGTATTGAACAAGCGTATAAATGATTCAACACAACATGATTGGGTGCGGGAAGTACACTATTATCCACCTTAGATACGGTCGAACTATTTAATATCACCTTTTCTAAATGAGGTGGTAAAGTAGGTGGCTGATCTTCAGCCATGCACTCCTGATGTTCAAAAGGATCATCAAAGATTTTACCATTCTCTGATACGCTAAGAGAGTGTGCATATGCAAGAAGATATCCAGGGATGTCATCACTATATTCGCCAGGAGGTGTATTTGAAAGAAATCCTAAACAATCGGAAAGTTTGATTAGAATATTTTATTTGTTTATTTTTTTAATAAAAAAAAATTTAATTACCATCGGAGTCTAAGCTTTCTTTTTCTATAGAATTACAATCATCATCTTCATAAACTTCTAAATAATTGACTAAATTTCCATCTGGATCCGTCGCTGTTGAAAGGTCATTAGAACACTTCCATTCATCATCTACGATAAATTTAAGTTTATGTGTTCCAGGTGGTAAATTGATAACGGTGGTAAAGTCATTCGTGCTGCGCGACAATGATTTTTATAAATGCAATTAACCTTATGATTCATATCTATATATATATATATATATATATATATCAAAAATAAAGGAGACACGAACCTTTTATTTAATCTTACATTATACTTCCAATCATTAAAAGTACCGGTAACAAATACGCTATTTCCACCCTGACTCCAGGTAATAATAGTGGGAATTCCTTTTACTTTTGCGTCTACGTAAAATCCAATTTGAAAAAAAAAAGGAAAATGAATTAAAACATTGTACGGACAATTAAAGCATGTTTCTGTCATTAGTGTCCAAAAGGGATGTTTTATTCTCTCCCAAGGAAAATAAACCTTGTGCATTAACACTTGTCATTGGTGCTAACCCTCCAATAGAACTGAAATCATGAATTATTTTATTAGAATTCTTGTAAGACGGCTCTCCCGTCACAATAGATGAACGCCGGGAAGATGTAGTTTTTGATGATGAACTACTCAATCCGGTTAAAATGTCAATTTCGTTAAAACTTGAAGTCAAACTTCCATCTTGACTGTTTCCATAATATATATCTTCTATTCCATCGAATTTTTTATACTCTTCATGTGAAAGCAAAGGTGAACCGACGAAAGGAGAATTTGAACCGAAATCATGAAACGAACTCTTGATTGGTTGACCAGTTGCAACAGGTTTTGTAGGTTCTTCTTGAATTGCTTCTGGTAATGTTCCGTTACGATGTTCTCTTGTTACTTTCAATCCGGGTTGGTTATTATTGTTGATATTCGTTGATGGTGTATTTCCCATTGATTTTTTTTAAAAATAAATAAATAAATAAATAAATAAAAATAAATAATAAAAAAAATAAAATAAAAAAAAAAATGAGAATTTAAGAGGAGAAGCTAATCAAAAAAATAACCGAATTAATTTATAGTTGATCGGACCCGATCGACCTCTCAAGATGATCAAAACGATCTCCTGATAAATTGTCCGATCCGGAACAGCAATTTCACATAACATGTGTCACATACTATCGCATAACTCAGGCCAAAAATCATGTGGGTTGTGTTCTAGCAACATGATGAAAATTTTTCCCTATTCGGGACGACGTTCAGTTAATATGTAACCTCTTGGATTCAATCTAATCTTAAAAATTTTCTCACATTTTGAAAAAATGGCTTCGAAAGATAATGATACGAGTACTATGGGTATATAATCTTTAGAATTACCCCAATTGATATAAAAAAATTAACATTTCAAAATGGTTGATTTATTGTTCGCTTATAACTTTTAAGTGAAATGTCCAGTGTGTAACCAAACTGTTGACATATCGGAAGTTAATGAACATATAGACAGTGGTTGTAAACTACCTGCGAATCCTGGAGCTGAAAGTACTAAACCTTCAACGAAGAAAACTCCTACCAAAAAGCTAACTTTAATGGCAAAGGTAGTAATGAAATAATATTTTAATTTAGTATCCAAAAAAATAAAAAATAAAATATCTCTTTTATTTCTTTTTAGAATGATTTCTTTGCCCCTAAATCGGTAAAACGCAGGAGTATAGATGATATCGAACAAGCATCATCAAGCAGTACTTCACAAAATGCTCAATCTCCTTTGCCCATTCATCAAGAAAAAAATAATGTCGCACAGTCAGCTTCTTTGTCAACTAGTAGTCGCCCTAGCAAACAAATCAAGACTATCAATACAAAAGTTGATGTGGTACCACTGGCGGCAAGAGGTATCTTGATCTCTTAAATAAACAATATTTGATTTTATTATTAATCATTGCCTTCTATTTTCGATCTTTAAAGTTCGACCGAAAACTTTGGAAGAGTTTATAGGACAAAATGAATTAATTGGCAAACATGGGTTTTTGAAAAGTTTGATCTTGAATGACAAAATACCGTTAGTATTATTATTTCAATTTTTATCATCTCGGGGATATCTTATTAAAACTAAATTTTCTTGTTTAAGTTCGATGATAATGTGGGGACCAAGCGGTGTGGGAAAGACAACTCTTGCAAAGGTGAATACAAAGTATCGTAAATTTCTGTTATTGTTGAATCATTTATTATGAATTCTAATCATAATATTGGCATTTATCCAAAGATAATAGCAAAGTTAACACAATCTACCTGTAAAGAATTTTCCGGAATTACACACGGTAATTATTTTCATTCGAATTTTGCAATTGTTAATTCTTGAACATTTTTTTTTAAATATATATATATATATATATATTTTTAGCTACTGCTGATATCAGGTATGTATTATTTTGGAATATATTTAAAAAATATCTTTAGTTAAATTTTATTGTTAATTAGGAAAGCATTTGAAGAAGCGAAAAATGAGCAAAAATTGTCAGGCCGGCGCACAATAATTTTTTTGGATGAAATGTAATTTCTCTCTCTCTCTCTTTTTTTTTATTCACAATATTGTTATGCCATTCGTAGCTATGGTTAATCAATATCCTGTTAATTTTTAGACATCGATTTAATAAGGCACAACAAGATTTATTTCGTAAGCATATATTTAATTATATAATGTTCAATTGCGATTTAAATTAAACTTATATTAATTACATTTTTAGTTCCATACGTCGAATCTGGAGGTGTCACACTTATAGGTGCCACAACAGAAAATCCCTCTTTTAAAATTAATTCAGCACTTCTCAGTCGATGTAAGGTTGTCGTTTTGAGCAAACTAACGACAGACGAAGTGCTAGCCATCTTAAAAAGGGCATTGAACGAAATTCGAAAACAAAAACATCAGAGCATTCAAACTGAAGCATCAAGTGCAACTTTGTCGACTGAAAATGATGATAATCAAGTGTTTGAAGAAGCGTTAAGATATTTGGCGGTGATGAGCGATGGTGATGCACGGGTTGCACTTAATTCATTAGAAATTGCCATTAATATGAAACCGGAGATACTGGAGGAAAATATTACCAAAGACGATATAAAATGTGTATTCCAAAAAACTCATCTAAACTACGATAGAGATGGTGAAGAACACTATAACATAATTAGCGCATTACATAAAAGTATGCGTGGAAGGTAAAATAAATTTTATCGATCCAATTTTTTTTAGAATTTAATAGTCGAACTAATTTTAATATTTTGAATATTTTGCAGTGATGCAAACGGTGAATTTCCTAATCAATTTTGATTTAATTTATTATTTACATCACAATTGATTTCATATCTATAACTTATAAAATAGCAAGTTTATATTGGCTTGGACGAATGCTAATTGGAGGAGAAGATCCTTTATTTATAGGTTCGTAAAGAAAGGATTTATCTTCATTTAACATTCATACGATAATAGTAATATTATGATTGTGATTATTAGCTAGAAGGCTGGTAGTATTTGCATCAGAGGACGTTGGACTCGCTGATAATAGTGCATTACCCTTAGTAATAATTTATAAAGCTTTATAAGAAATTTGTTCACTTTAGGTAATATTAATAATAACAAATTTTTTTTTTTAGGCAATGGCAACGTATCAAGCGTGTCAATTTATTGGCATGCCAGAATGCGAAATTAATCTAGCACATTGCGTAACATATTTAGCAGAGGCAAAAAAGAGTGTACGATCATACAAAGCATATGGTTTGGTAATATAAAAATGAATATTATTTGTATATTTTAAATGCTCGGTGTGTTTTTATTCATCATCATTAATTCTAGGTTAAGAAAACCATTCAAGAGGAATATAATTTTCCTGTACCACATCACTTAAGGAACGCACCAAGTGGATTAATGAAAGTAAGCAATGTTTATATTTTGGTTTGGATACCAACAAGTTTTATTTCAATTATTCTATCTTATAGGAACTTGGATATAATTATGGATATAAATATAATCCAGAATATGAGGGAACTGTTCACCAAGAATATTTACCTAAAGAACTTAAAAACAAAGTATTTTTGGATATATATAAGGCAACAAAGGTAGATGATAGTAGAATTGAATCAAAAGAACAAGTGAAGCGTAACGAAAAGGTGGAATTTGGCGGAGAGAATATTGATTTTGATTTTCATTATCTATTTAATGAATCTAATGGAAGGCATAAATTTGAAATTACCGATAATCAGTAGTGTTAAGTGGAAGAATTCGTAACATTAATATTA